GCACCTCGTACTTGCTTATCCGGAAACGCTTCGCTCAACTCTCGAAACACTGCCACATTTCATAGATTTTTGAAAATTGAATTATTATGATACACATCAAATCGATAATGTTGCATCCGACCACGATCTCATAGTACACTGGGATAGGAAACAAATGTGTCTAGATTTGTTTCACTGTTTACATTACCTGTCATTCAGACTCTCGAAAAAATGCACATAACGTTCCCACCACCGAACTGTTCAAATACCAGTAAACTGACCTCTTCTCCGGAGTTGAATGCAGTTCGGACAGGCGTTGACGTTGCTCTCGAAGCTCACGTAAGCTGACTATGAGGAAGAAAAATAGAAAGACCAGTACACCCATCGAGCAGACCGCAGTCACGGTCACCGCGTTCACGGAATAGTCGTCCATTTGTGGCGGAACTGAAAGATGATGTAAACAGGGAATAACGGCCGCATGAACTATGATTCAGGCGATGTCTGCAGCTCTCATGACCGACCCAACCTGATGGGCGTTTTCAAAGAAAAGAATCCTAAACTTCACACATTATTCCTTCTTATTAACTGTGGAAAAGCACGATGGTTTTCGTAGATTCCAAATCTTAAAATTTTGCTGATAATTTGCGTTACCAAGTCTATGTTAAAAGAGGTTTTGTAGTTGAGCGATTTATTCCAAAACACGTTGGAACAGCCGCCCATAATGACGAAGTCGTTACATTTTAAACCGTCAGTTTTGCGCTGTCTCACTCGAGTGAACAATTGCACCGGAATTTACTTTACTAAACTCAAGGATAACGTGCATTTCCCGATTTGTTAAATACAATATGCTCACCCCAGTTCCCTATTCTCACCATCCGAGCGTTCCCCGACTGAACGCATTTTCAGTGAATATCTGATTTCTTGTACACTCCCTTTTGCTGCGTCATCAACTTTATCGTAAATACTTTCTTGCTTGCCCAAATTGTTTTCGGAAGTCCGGACTCCAAGTTTCATCGGTGGTCTAGGCGAAATCTGAATGCCAAAAAATTTGATCAATTTGATCGGTCGAGCACATCCACTCTGGTTGGATGGATCATATCCGTCAATAAAAACTGTTTGGCACGCGGATTTGTCGGTTTTGGAGCTATGCGAGAAGACCGCTTGTTCTAGATATTGCCAAATGGCACAGGAAATAAGGAGTACTCATATCATGAGTTCACGGGACGTTTAGGTGTGAATACTAGGTCCTCCAGTACCATTGAGCAGATCCTCACTGTTTTATGAGTCTGTCCTTAAAACACTATTTTTTTCCTGGATGCCAGAGCACAAAGAGATGGTAATGAGTAGTTCCCACAATATAACATAACTCTCTGTCTCTCTCTCTCTCTCTCTATTCGGGAACTGACTTCTACATTGTCCAACGTTTTTCACGTTATCAACCAAACAGTGTTGGACATTTTTTCAGTGAAAATGAGTATGCCTTTGTTTGGACACCTACTCGTGAATTCGTTTAACTGAAAAATCAGAGGATGACTGTGCTACCCAGCCACAAAACAAACTTTTCAGATCGTAAACTATTCCCATTTTACGCATAACAACAAATGGGAAACCCGAAAATCAATTTCTTTCCAATGTATCGCTTCAGACTTTTACGCATTTATTTCCATTAGTTAATAGAATAATACAAAGTCAAAGCTGGTGCTGAGTGAATGAATGCTCGCGTATGTCAAATATTCAGTTGCCAACAAGTCCTGGGGTTTGGATAGGAATAGTGTAGGGTAAAAGTGTGCCACAGGCATGATCCCGATCAAAAATGAATGAGACAGGTGTAAAAGTGTGAGGAAAACGGGAGTGAAGAAGGAAGAGGGAGAGAATGGAAGAGGAGTCGACTGGAATGCCGGTTTCAATCTTTAGTTGGAGAACACCCTTCCATCTCATGTCGTTTGCGCAGCAACTAGTGAATCTTTCAAGCGCAGCTTTGATGAAACCCTGGCACACCTTACATTCATTCATACACAACTAAAATAGTGCAAATTCTTTGAAGACTACCTAATGCATTATCTCCTCCCTGGAACTCTATTTGATATTTGATTATTGATTTGCTGGGAAACGATTGAACTGTGAAAATATCACATGGATATGAGAGAAGCCCGAGCTTGTAAGTGATTGTTATCATCAAAAATCTTACGTTGACATTTAGTCGAATAAGCAATCACCCATATTACCATAGAAATAGCAACACTTGAACCAAATTACTTTGTTTGTTTATCTCTGGCTTCATAACCCTTATTCCTCTGGACTCCTCAGTTAACACGATCTTCTTACGTGATTCTTCGGTGTGATTCTTCGATACTGTGACAAAACTTGCAAATGATGTTCCTGGGTCATTCGTGTGTCCATCGTCGACTACATGTTATTTCTCACTATTTCTTTTCGAAGTGCGGTCGGACAATGTTGAGATTTACCAAAAGCCGCC